GCCCTTCCTCTTGCGACGGTGGCTCGTAGGCGCGTGGCGACGTCACGATGACTCGCCACCAGTCCATGGCGGGGCCCCTCAGCAGCGAGACGGCGTATCTTATCTTCGCTGCGTCCGACTCGACGTAGTTCGCGTCGAAGAAGACGTTCATCGTGAAGACCCACGATTGAACCGTCGGACCTCCACGTTGGCTCGGGTCGAAGCAAGGCGGGCGCTGCGTCTTGAGTGGCATTGGTGCCATGCTGGCGTGGTCGCCACTTGTCGCCGCAAATTCCACGTGCCGTCGGGCTTCACGAGGCTCCCGCGGGCTTGGTGCGACCCTATTCCTTTCCATGCCAGGCATCGAGTGAGCGGCGCCATCACTGGCTGCGCCTGAGCGCTGTCCCACGCTGTCGTTCTGTGTTGGTGTGCCGGATGAAATGACGATCGGCTCCTCCGATTGTGCGGGTACATTTGCAGGTGCGTGTGGTGGTGCTGGAGTATTCACCGTGGATTGCTGACGCACGGAGTCACGTTCCGCCATGAGCGTCGCAATTTCGAGCGCCGAATCCTCGACTTGGCGCACGAGACGGTCGAGTTGCTCCTGCGTCAGTGTCGCGAGAGTAAATTCGGCCATGGCGGGGGTGTCGGGCAAGCTCAGCGAGAGCCTCGATCGTGGCCGTGCGTGCTTTCGAGAGAGCACTTCGAGCGGCGGTGCTTGTTCGCTGAGAGACGTCTACCCCCCCCAAAACATTGAGATAGTGGGGAAGCGAAGGTGTGGGTGCGGTCCGAGAAGAGATCGTAGGCTCTGATACCAAGTGTTACGAGTGCAATTGAGTGAACGAGCGAGAATTGCACTATCGAAGCAAGAGTACAATGAGTGAAGGCATGAGCGAAGAATATATAGCGAAACTACAGTGGTAACGGTAAAGTGGGAAATTGAGGTGCGCTACGGGCCTAGCGCCGAGGTTTGGAGAATTGTCGAGGCGGAGGTCCGGAGCGCGGGTTACCAACCGAACCGTTAGGTTGGGTCGCGTCGTGAACAGTGGCGGGAGTCGTGGTCGAGGCGAGTGTCGTGAACGGGTAACGTGCATGGATGGGTGCTGATGGCGGGAACGGTCATGTACGCGGTAAGCAGGGACGCGAAGTAAGGAAAAGGAATTTTCCTTACAAATCGCCACGCCAACGTTCAGATTCTAATCAAAGCTGATACAAAAACAATAAAGGACCATTTATCATACCACTATCCTCAAAGGGGGCTCCCCGCTCCCATCCCATTAATTAGTGCAATTACTCTTTTTTACTCAGATTCGTACTGTAGTCGGTGCAAAACCACCCCATTTCTAGCAGCTGCGTTTCTTCCCCACCTACCCAGTCGTGGCTCCTGCAGACATAATAGATTGTATGTGCATGTACAGGTACCATACGGGATAATGGGAGTGAGCAAGAGCAATGATAGCATGACGCCAAAGAATGAAAGAGAGGGAAAGAGAGGATTAGACACAAAAAGACAGGGAGCGGGTGAGAGACGATGAATAACAAGCACAACGCTCAGTGCGAGTGAGACATTTAAAGCTAGAAAGGTGACTAACCTGGCCAATGCCTGCGATGACGAAATCCGATCGATGTGCAAACGCAATAGAGTTAACAAAGCCAACCTGGAAGAAAGGGCACAGGTAGAGTGAGGGGTGGAGGTGGAGGGTTGTAACAGAGCTTGAGCGAAAGCACAACAGTTGAACAATTAAGCACCCCAAGAAAGGGGCTGAATATCTAGAGGCCACAAACATCAGATCATGGGTTCAGATGAGTGATAGTGGGAAAACAGTGAGAAAGGCGAGGGAGGGGTGTGGTCTAGTTGAAGAGGGGAAGAAAAAGGGGAAATTTGGGAAGTGGTGAAGTGAGGAACGGGGGTGAGGGGTGGACGCGAGCTGGTAATGCCATTCCAGCCAATGCAACGCACCGTTGGCAGTGACCCCACGGGGCGCAGTCGGTTCGCTGACGTGTCGCAATGCCACAGCCTGAGAATGCCGTCGCCCGCCCCGCTGGCTGCCAGGTCAGAACCGGGCGCCACAGCAACAGCCCCCACCCACGACTGCACTGCACTCGCTGCTGCTGCCGGTGCTGAGACAGACGGAGCAGCAGCAGCAGCAGCAGCAGCGGCGGCGGAGGCAAACGGCGCGGCGTCAGGGGCTGCATCTGCTGGTTGTTGGGCAGCAACGCCGTTGGGCAGGCCATTTTGAGCGGCATCAGCAGCAGCAGACGCGGCAGGTGTACCAGCAGCAGCAGTGGTGGTGGTGCCATGCGCTGCCCGCACGACATGCACGGGCTTCTTCTTGAGGGCGGACCAGAGAGACAGCGACCCGTCATCACCCCCTGTGATGAATGCGGAGGGCGAGAGGAAGGCGCACGAGTCCAGGCACGAGGGCGCCGGCGCTCGGAACACCAGCTGGGTCTCCTCGGGTACCTGCCGTGGGATGGGGGGGGAGAGAAGAACGAGGACGAGAAGGGGGAACAGCCAGTGATGACGGGGAAAGCGGACAAGGGGGAAAGGAGAGGCTGAAAATTGGGGCACAAAGCTTCTTCTTCCCAACCCCACAGCGCCCCACCCCACAGCGCCCCATCCCCATTATGGCCACCACACGCACCTTCCACACCCTGCATCAGATACAACCTCCCTTAGGCATACCCTCTCCACGCACACATGATTCATGACCCTCTCAGAGCCAGCAGGTACGGTCTCTGGCAACAGAAACCACCCTCTGCGACTGCGACTGCCCGAGCGCCTGCCTCACCAGATAGCATAGCACCTACCCCAGGCAGTCTACCCCCCCCACTCTCCAGACGCACTTTCCGGAGCCTGCAGGTATGGTCTCCCTCTCGCCACGGAGACAGCCCTCTGTGGCTGCCTGAGCGCATGCCTCTCCAGATAATACCTCCCCCAAGCATGCCCCCTCCAGACGTACCTTCCAGAGCCGGCAGGTCCGATCTCTCGCCACGGACACGACCCTCTGTGGGTGCCTAAGCGCCTGTAGCGCCACTATCTCCGCCTGGTGGCCGAACAGCGAATCCATGTACGCCACGTCAGCGCAGCTCCACAGCTTGATGCTGCGGTCGGCGGACGCGGAGAAAAGGTCGAGTGATGCCGGCCGGAAGGCGAGCGACATGACTGCCCCCCTGTGGCCCGCAAAGGACTGGCGTGGGGCGGGAAGGGGGGTGGACGGGAGGGCGGAATAGGAAAGGGAATAAGGTAGGAAGGCGAGCGACATGATGTGACTGCCCCTCTCTGGCCGACAAAGAACTGTTCCCCTCTGCTCCGTGCGTTCCACAGGTGCACCACGCGGCAGCAGCCACCCGCCGTTGAGCTCTCATGCGCCCCTAACCATAATCTGTAAACCCCACACGAACTTCCAAACCCCGAACCCTGACCCCTGCCCCTCACCTTGACGTGCGCGCGCGTGCGCGCGTCCCACAGGTGCACCATGCGGTCCAGCCCCCCCGCCGCCAGGTACCGCCCGTCGTCGCTCACACTCACGCTCAGCACGTGCCGGCTGCTCTTCCCTCCCTTCCCCTTCCCCTTATTCCCCCCTCCGCCTCCCCCTCCGCCTCCCCCTCCTCCTCCCGCCCCCGCGCCCCCATCCGACCGGGAGTTGGGGTTTGAGTTTTCGGGCCAGGGGAACTTAAAGCTCGTTCCCGACTCGATGTCCCAGCCCACTATTAGTCCGTCTTTTGACACCGCGAAGCCCGTTCTGTCGTCCAGTGAGAGCGCGACACCTGTCACCGACTGCTTGTGTCTGCGTCCCACTGCCTGCCCTGGCGATGATGACGTGGATGGGATAAATCGGGTCGCGATTCGCCGGATCACTCTGCCGCTCTCTTCTAACGCGTCTTGCTTTAATCGAGCAGCTATTAACGCGTCCTGCTCCTCTCTTAATCCCTCGTCCCCCTCCTCCTCCCCCTCCTCGTATCCATCTCCTTCCTCCGCCTCCTCCTCATCTTCGCTCTCCCCTTCCCCGCTTCTATCCTCCGCCTCTTCCGCCTCTTCGTCCGCCTTCTCCCGCGCGGCCAGCACCGCTGCCCGCTTCACTTCCGTCAGGTACGACCGCGCAATGCGCAGGCGCTTCGCCTCCGAGCTCTCCGCCAAGCGCGCATCCTCCCCCTCCCCTCCCGAGCCAAGTTCCGCGTCCTCTTCCGCCGCCTCCTCCGCCCGCGCGAAAAACGACTCTTCCCGCTCCCCGTCGTCAATTAACTCATTCCGCGGTCTTTTCCGCCCGGCTCCTCCTCCCCCCGCGCGACCCCTTCCGCCTCTGCCCCGCCCGCCACCGCCCCCTGCTCTCCCCCCACGTCCCCGCCCGCGGTCACCGCCGCGGGCACGATACATCCTGCCCCCGCGATTCGCGTAAACGAATCGCAGCACCCTTTCTATTCCGACGCGGACTCACGAATCGGGCAAAGAAATCCACTCCGTTTAACCAAGGTCTGCCTGTAACGACACTAGCCCCGCCACGACAGAGGCAGCAGTGGAACAGGGTGACCAAGCCACAAGACTCGGCTTTGGGTTTTGGGGACGGAAGGAGGTGGTCTGGGGGGTTTGTGGGTGTTGGGTTCGCTATTGCAAAAACTATGATCTCACCGATTAGCCACGCAAGCCTGAGGTATTCTAGACATAAACAGCATCATTTTCAAAAATATCACTTTCAAATATCCACATGTTTGGCCCATTACGGTATCATTAGCGCGCCCATTTACTGGAGTCAAAAGAATAGTAAGTTTTCTAGAATGCGTAACCTCCTGAGAAGACAGCCCAAAACATCCAATACAGTCTGTCTAACCATCAAAAAGAAGTGTATTCCGAAGCATGGAAATCTAACGTAGCAAACATGAATATACAGTCCAGTGCAATAACGACAAGGGATCAAATGGAAAGAAAAAAAATCACACAGAAAAAAGGGCTGTATTGTACTCTTATCCCACGTCACATCTCATTCCTGTCACCATACTATAATCCAAACTAGGAGGTTCACTCACAGCTCAATGCCTTCCACCCCAACCCATTCAGCACCCCACGACACTGTACTGGCCATTCTCGGAGGGCCAGTCGCATGCACGCGGGGCAGCAGCATAGTCGGGCACACGGGGAGACCACCACAGCAGTCCCACCAAAGAACCACATCCCCTCAGCACCACCCCCCCATCCATTACTTCCTGACCCCTCAGCACCCCACAACGCAGTACTGGCTGTTACCCGAGGGCCACGTGCAGGCGGGCGGGCCAGCAGCATAGTCGGGCACGCGGGGGACGACCACCGCAGTGCCACCAAAGAAGCACGTGCCAGGCTGGTGGTTGTGGCGGTAGAAGTACGCATTGAAGGCGTGAGACGCATGCTCCACCAGCGCGCCATCTCCCTGCCAGCACGCCCCCCCCGGCAGAATGGGAGAGCAGTCCACCCCGCCCGGCCCACACGCCCAGTCAAGCGCCCGCTGCACCGCCCCCATGTCCGCCGCACACCTGCTCCCCCCGCCCCTACCCCCTCCGCCCGGCGCCACCACACCTCGGGGAGGGTAATCGGGCTCGGGGGAGTATCCGGGGTATACCGGGTGCACGAGAGCCGGAGGGGGAGAGTACGGGTCCGGGATCTCCCGGCAGGCAGCGACGCAGAACTGGCCGTTGGACGACGGGAAGGTGCAGGTGGGGGAGTCTGCAGCAGCGTAGTTGGGCACGCTGGGGACGACCACGGCGTTGCCTCCGAAGAAGCAGGAGCCGGGGCGGTGTGCGTGGATGTGGAAGATGGAGTTGAAGGCGACGGTGGCGTGCAGGGCGAGGTTGCCAGGCTGGAAGCAGGGACCGCCCGGCTGGATGGAGGAGCAGTCGGCGCCGCCGGGCCCACACGCCCAGTTGAGTGCGTTGAGGAGTGAGCCTGGGGCCACCCCGCAGCGCAGGTGGTGAGGGGTGGTGGGAGGAGGGGTGGTGGTGGGGGGAGGGATTGTGGGAGGGGTGGTAGTGGGCGGAGGGGTGGTTGTGGGGGGAGGAGTGGTGGGAGGAGTGGTGGTGGGGGGAGGGGTGGTGGTTGGGGGAGGGGTGGTTGGAGGAGTGGTGGAGGGGGGAGGGGTGGTGGGGGGAGTGGTAGTCGGGGGAGGAGGGGTGGTGGGAGGTGTGGTGGTAGGAGGAGGGGCGCTTGGAGGAGCGGTGGTGGGAGGAGGTGTGGTGGGCGGCGTGGTGGGTGGGAGGACCGGGGGGATCGGGACGCCATCAGCAGGGGGGTCGACAGGAGTGGCATCATCTGCATCACCGTCAGTAGCACCACCACCGGCACCACCATCATCGGCATCACCATCAGCAGCAGCATCACCACCATCCTCAGCATCACCAACATCATCAGCATCGCCATCATCAGCATCGCCATCATCAGCATCGCCATCATCAGCATCGCCATCATCAGCACCACCATCATCAGCAGGGGGGCCAACAGGAGTGACATCATCGGCATCACCATCAGCTGCTCCGCCACCACTGGCACCACCATCATCAGCATCACCATCATCATATGATGCATCCCCTGCTGCTGGGTCCGGAGTGCTCACTGCCCCTCCACTGCTGCGACTACTGCCGGTGCTACCGGTGCTACCAGTGCCACTGCCACCACTGCCGCCACTGCCGCTACCTGGCGTGGAAATCAACCCTCCACCAGAGCTGCTGGAGCTTCCACCTCCGCTCCCAGTCGCCCCCCCCGCACCCTGTCCCTGCCCTGTCGGTGCAATCAGGGTGCTATGCTTCGCTGCCCTCGCCACTGGCACGGCCACCGTACCTGTTCCCACGGCCTGCACTGGCTTGGATCGGACTGGCTTGGCTCGGGCCGTACCTGCGTGCTGGTTTGCTGCCACGTGGGAAGGCGGATGGGGTTTGCCGCCGTTGTGGTGGCCTGGTGTGGCATGGGCCGAACCGCCGTGGTAGTTACCCGGACGCTTCACCGGCTTGGCCTGGGAGCCCGAGCCTCGAGCCCCGGCTTGGCGCTTGACCGGCTTGGCTCGGGTGCCCTGGTTCGGAGGAACAGGCGTGGGACGTGCCACGGCACGTGGCGGACGGCGAGTAGCAGCAGTGCGAGGGACCATGGGCTTGAGTGCCGCGGTGCTGTCTGCACTGTCAGCAGTGTAGTAGTCGCCGCCAGTGGGGTAGAGCGAATCCTCTGCATCATTAGGTTCTGCACCATACGCGTCAGGAAAATACGAGTTGTCACCTCCACTGAACCCTAACCCCTGGTTACTCCCATAGTCGCCCTCCCATGTGCTGTTGTCGCTGCTGCCATCGTTGCCCGTATCATCACCCCAGCCTCCCTCCGAGCTGTCGTCCCAGCCTCCATCCGAACCATCGTCCCAGGCATCCTCCGAGCCTCCCCCCGAGCCTACATCCCAGCCTCCCCCGGAACCATCATCCCAGACTCCACCCGAGCCGTCATCCCAGAGTGCATCCGAGGCGTCGTACCAGTTCGAGCCCGAAAAATCCTCCCAACTGTCTTCCGAACCATCTTCCCAACCTCCATCCGACCCATCAGCCCAATCTCCTTCCGAACTTCCTTCCGAGCCATCATCCCAGCCTCCTTCGAAGCCACCGTCCGAGCCATATTCCAGGCCTCCCATCCTGCCGTTCTGCTCATCTACGTCCAGCATCGGCCAATCACCGCCTGCGGTCTCCTCATCCACCGAACCACTATCCGAACCTGATCCCGAGTCAGTGTATCCCGCCAATATCCCTCCCGGGGGGAATCCCATCTTAGCGTTTTGCTCCGCTATAGAGTCCAACAGCGGGTTACTACTGTATCGAACCACACTGTGCTGTCGAGGCGCCCGTCGACCGTGGCGCCCATGATGCGGACGGCCGAGCCGCTGCATGCTGTCGTAGGCCGGACCGCCGCCGCCGCTGGAGGCTGCGCGAGGAACTTCCTCGAGAATTTCCACCTCGTCGCCGTCGTGGTCAGTCCCATCGAAAACCTTCACTGTCTGCCCCGTGCTACGGTCAAACTTGATAGTACCACCATCGCTGTCTGCTACGAGAAGCTCGCGCGGACGAAACCTCGGGCCTCCGCCGGGCCTGGCCTGGTGACCGGGCCTGCGGAGGAGCCTCGGAGAGTGGCTCGTAACGAGCATCCTGGCTCGCGAATTCCGGGCCCGGCGGGTTTCTGGGCGCGGCAGCCGCCTGCGCGCGAAGCGGACGTCTTGGATGGGCGGAGTGGTGGCGGAAGGGGGGGAAGGTGGAGGCGGAAGATCGGGGCTTGAGGCCGCGCGGAGATGGTGCTGGTGCGCGATGGTTGGGCGCAGCTGGTGGCTCGTGCGGTGCTGGCTGTTGTGCCTGCGCGCCGCGCGCTCCGGCATGGGCTCGCCGCGCGGGCCTGTCGCGTAGTACCGGCTCGGGAAGAACCTTCCGCGACCTGCGGCGGACTGGAGAGCGCATGCGACGAGCAAGAGGACGACCGCGACGCGTGCGGACGCCATGATGACGACAAACCTAGCAGAGCAGTGCCCTAGTGAGAGGTTGCGAGCCTTTCTTTGTCCCTCGTTGAAGTGCGATAGCAATCAGCAGATTCTAAGTTTTTTGTTCGGCGTACAATGTACAGGCGAGTTCTTTGGAAAAGGCTGCTTCTAATGTATTCGACGTTCGCCTTGCTAACTCTAAAGAGGTTACATGGATCCAGAAAGCCAAGCCTTGGGTTTTGAAGTGCGGGTGAAAGAGAGGGGAGGGAGGGAGACAAGCAGCAGCAAGAAAGGCCACGCATTGCTGGCAGTCAGTCGAGCCAATTTCGCCTCGCAGTGACTCCAGCGCAGCAAATGTCAATTTCGCCCCTCGTACTTCGGCATCCGCGAAACAGCGCACTTCGTTTGAGTCGCCTGACCTTGCCTTGGTGGAATTCGCATGGATACGTAACTAGGAGGTCGTGGAGTCGCCAGCACCACCTCTGACTGCTCTCGACTTTCGCTGGACTCGGCAGGAATGGGTTTGGCGAATGCGTGTAAGTATATCCGCTTATGCGAGTGCTTGACGAATCCCAGGAGTTTGCGACTTCGCAGAACTGACTGCGCCAGGCGAACCAACGGAAGCCAGGAGGGAACTCTGAAAATTGACCGCAGCGACTGGGCTGGCCATCGCTGGGTTCGTCGTGGTGACGTGGAAGAACGGGTCAAGCGCTTCATATCCCCGATGTGAAATCCAGCACGGAAAGGCAGAGCCAACCATATTCCATATTTTTACAATTTATTATATGACAGTATAACCATAGTAGAGAAATTTGGTATATGCTACTGTTTGTGCTAGATTCCCAACTAGGTATTTCTCGCCTTGTAATTTTGCGCAAAGGATGAGCCATATGACGTTGAAACAATATTCAAACAAAGTACGATGCTACAAAATTCTGAAGGCTATAAAAGATGTGAAATACAGTTAGACACATACATTTACAGCACACGTCAACGTTTCCACGTACAGCATCAGCATCGAGCCACGTCGTCTCAATCCACGAGACACTATCATTACGATCCTTCTATCGAGTACAGATTTCGCCAGCGTTGTTCCTTCGCCACCTCCTCTTCTCGTTTGGATAAACCTCTGATCCATATTTCACGCATGATTGCTCTAAGATCTCTAGTGACCTGTCTAGAAGTTTTCCCACAGCTGCATTGTGATTTGTCTAAAATATTAGCTGAAACTATCTGCTGCTTTTCTTCGAATATTGTCGAAGCAGCCTGCTTCTCGTTGCACTTTAGCAACCCTAGATTACACCAGTCTGTCCAGATTGCCTCTGACGTTCAGTGATCTCGCTCCCTTCCAGTCATGGCGTCAGCATTGAGTCACATCGCAGGACCGCCCGTCGCCACCTTTCGCCCAGAAACCACCGCCACTCTCAGAACTCCCGTGAGCCAGGCTTCGTCCGTAACATGGTTACCACCAGCCGGTATACGCCACTCCGTGTCGCGAGTTTCCGCTGATTTCGTCGGCCACCGCGGGTCCAGTCACGGCTGGTCGCGCGGAAGCAACCGCTCGGCGCGCTTAGAGGTGACAGCTAGGGCGGGAGGCGCGCGGCCGCGGCCTTCTGGCGCGCGGCCGTCGCAACGGCCGCCGATGAGACGGCAGCAGCAACAGCCGGAGGATAAGGACGGACCGCTGATGAACAGTGATATCAGGTGAGACGGACCGCAGATGATAAAGCAGATGCTACAGAGCGCAGGTGAATGGTGTATCACGTGAGTCGGACCGCATACGAACAGTGATTCCCGGTTGCCAGAAGGATCGCCAACGTTAGATAAAACCTCCCAGGCTTGAAAGGTTAGAAGGAATCCGTGGGCGAGCGACGGGGCCAATGCAGCGCGCTGCGATTTCTCACGACCCTAATCTGGGATGAAATGCATCACATTGCGTGGATCCCCCGCCTCGAAGTTGTCGTTGACGCGCGACGCCGCCCGTCGGAGGCCGTTTGGGTATGACGCATCTCGGAAATTCGTCCGATCCGAGCCGTCGAAACGCACGCTTGATATCCCGCGGGTGAAGTTGTTGGTCTGCGTGCATCTCGATTTTTAAGGCGCTCCAAAAGTTGTTCAGATGTGCGTGCATCCCGCCGCACACTGCGCGAGCGATCGCGGACGGCAGCAGGCTTCCGAGCCTTGAGTTAAAGTGCCATCCCGACGAGTCGCTAGAGTGCGTTGATGCGCCTCTGATGCGAAGGCCGAGTCGCGCGCTGTTGCATCGTGGCTCGTGTGAGGGTTTTGGGTGCGGGGGTCAATGCTAGCGTGTGGGGATTGCGAGAAGCACGGAATCGACGACGGGGTGCGCGTGTGGGGGTGCGCGTGGGTGCACGTGTGGGGGGGTTGCGGGCAGCGGGGGTGCGTGTGGGTTCGTGAGGGGCGCCGTAAAAAAACTCCGGCCATTCCCCGCGCCGGTCGCGCGGCATTCGCTCTGCTGCATTGACCTGCCGATGGCGAGTCGACTGGTCACCATGCTCGCACCGCGTTCTCACAAATCGCTACTCGAAGCGAATGCATGTGTCGCTACCCTGCGACTCGGTTTGAGTAGAGTGGACTCACACGTCCCCGTGCCAATGTGCGCGTGATGTTACCCTTAACTTGCCGCCTGCTCTCTCTCCCTTGGTCTCGATCCGCCGCCCGTGCCGTGCTGTTCCCCCATCATGATCTATCCGCGCCCGCATGCTGTCCGTCTATGCGCTCCGCTCATCGCGCTCTACCCACTGCACTGCCGCGGGAGCAATGCCTTTGGGGCGCTTGTTGCGGCAGGCGGTTTGGAATGACTCGTTCACAAGGGCCGGAAGGAACGGAGGGAGGGAGGGAGGGAGGGAGGCTGAGCGCTCTCTCAATCCTAGTCTGGACACGTGATAAAAGGTCGTTTGTGAGACGTCTCAAAACCAACCTTTATCAGAGGGCTCTTGTTGTGGCAGGCGGTTTGGAATGACTCGTTCACAATGGCCGGATGGACCGGATGGACCTTGTACCATGGCCGCTCAAAAGAGGGCGCTTGTTGCGGGAGCGAGGGAGGTTGAGCGCTCTGTTGTCTTGTTCCTAGACTCCCCCAGGAACGATGGTCCTATTCCGCTGCTCTCCTTGATGCTCGCTCGCCCCTCGTGGCATGTAGGCACCGCGCCATGCACCATGCGCCATGCACCATGCACCATGCACCATGCACCATGCACCATGCACCATCCACCATGCACCATGCACCATGCACCATGCACCATGCACCATGCACCATGCACCATGCATCATGCACCATGCACCATGCACCATCCACCATCAACCATGCACCATGCACCATGCACCATCCACCATCCACCATACACCATACACCATCCACCATGCACCATCCACCATACACCATACACCATACACCATCCACCTTCCACGTTCCACCACGTATGTACGTATCCCATATGCCAAAACCGTTCTGCACCCATCCACCCATCCATCCATCCATCCGTGTGGCAGGGTGCCCACGCTGCGCCTGCTGGCAGAAGACCAGACTCTGGTGAGTGCAGCACAGCACACACATTTGCTGCCACGTATTGAAGCCATGGCACCTACATGGTGTTCGCTTGCTCCCCACGCTGCGCCTGCTGGCAGAGGACCAGACTCTGGTGAGTGCAGTGCAGCACCGCGTAGCCCGATGGAGGGATACTTGTTGGCGCCATTTTGACCTGTTTGCGTTCATATTGTTAGTCTAGTAAGGCGTGAGAATAATAGAATAAAACAAAGAAGACCCTCCATAGTTTTTTAAACGTGTACATCTAATCTCTGCCTCGCTCGCACCTCGCATCTGCTACTCGCTTTTGAGAAATTTCAAAAGCTTCTCACCGTCGACTTTTTTATTCCCTGTCGCTGTTGTGACTAACTTCACCCGTGCCTGTAGCCGCGGCCGTTCCTCTCCTCTCCTGTTCGTGACTGTTACTCACTGTGCCTTTGACTGTCCCCCCTCTCACCCTCACTCTCCTCCTCTCCCTCTCCCTCCCCCTCGGTCTGTGCCTATCCCTGCCTGCCTATCCCTGCCTCCCTGTACCCTGCCTGTACCCTGCGTGCATGAGAGCAGCTGGGGATAGTGTCGAGAGAGGAGGCGCTCTCCAAGGCGCGCGAGTCGGGGCTTGACCTGGTGAGTCGCTGCTGGGGGGTGCTGGGGAGTTCTCGGGATTGCTGGGTTATGCTGACTGAAGCGAGTCCTCTTAGAGGCTAGGGGTGCACCTGGTGAGTGCTGCCAGCAGGGGTGCACCTGGTGAGTGCTGCCAGCAGGGGTGCACCTGGTGAGTGCTGCCAGCAGGGGTGCACCTGGTGAGTGCTGCCAGCAGGGGTGCACCTGGTGAGTGCTGCCAGCAGGGGTGCACCTGGTGAGTGCTGCCAGCAGGGGTGCACCTGGTGAGTGCTGCCAGCAGGGGTGCACCTGGTGAGTGCTGCCAGCAGGGGTGCACCTGGTGAGTGCTGCCAGCAGGGGTGCACCTGGTGAGTGCTGCCAGCAGGGGTGCACCTGGTGAGTGCTGCCAGCAGGGGTGCACCTGGTGAGTGCTGCCAGCAGGGGTGCACCTGGTGAGTGCTGCCAGCAGGGGTGCACCTGGTGAGTGCTGCCAGCAGGGGTGCACCTGGTGAGTGCTGCCAGCAGGGGTGCACCTGGTGAGTGCTGCCAGCAGGGGTGCACCTGGTGAGTGCTGCCAGCAGGGGTGCACCTGGTGAGTGCTGCCAGCAGGGGTGCACCTGGTGAGTGCTGCCAGCAGGGGTGCACCTGGTGAGTGCTGCCAGCAGGGGTGCACCTGGTGAGTGCTGCCAGCAGGGGTGCACCTGGTGAGTGCTGCCAGCAGGGGTGCACCTGGTGAGTGCTGCCAGCAGGGGTGCACCTGGTGAGTGCTGCCAGCAGGGGTGCACCTGGTGAGTGCTGCCAGCAGGGGTGCACCTGGTGAGTGCTGCCAGCAGGGGTGCACCTGGTGAGTGCTGCCAGCAGGGGTGCACCTGGTGAGTGCTGCCAGCAGGGGTGCACCTGGTGAGTGCTGCCAGCAGGGGTGCACCTGGTGAGTGCTGCCAGCAGGGGTGCACCTGGTGAGTGCTGCCAGCAGGGGTGCACCTGGTGAGTGCTGCCAGCAGGGGTGCACCTGGTGAGTGCTGCCAGCAGGGGTGCACCTGGTGAGTGCTGCCAGCAGGGGTGCACCTGGTGAGTGCTGCCAGCAGGGGTGCACCTGGTGAGTGCTGCCAGCAGGGGTGCACCTGGTGAGTGCTGCCAGCAGGGGTGCACCTGGTGAGTGCTGCCAGCAGGGGTGCACCTGGTGAGTGCTGCCAGCAGGGGTGCACCTGGTGAGTGCTGCCAGCAGGGGTGCACCTGGTGAGTGCTGCCAGCAGGGGTGCACCTGGTGAGTGCTGCCAGCAGGGGTGCACCTGGTGAGTGCTGCCAGCAGGGGTGCACCTGGTGAGTGCTGCCAGCAGGGGTGCACCTGGTGAGTGCTGCCAGCAGGGGTGCACCTGGTGAGTGCTGCCAGCAGGGGTGCACCTGGTGAGTGCTGCCAGCAGGGGTGCACCTGGTGAGTGCTGCCAGCAGGGGTGCACCTGGTGAGTGCTGCCAGCAGGGGTGCACCTGGTGAGTGCTGCCAGCAGGGGTGCACCTGGTGAGTGCTGCCAGCAGGGGTGCACCTGGTGAGTGCTGCCAGCAGGGGTGCACCTGGTGAGTGCTGCCAGCAGGGGTGCACCTGGTGAGTGCTGCCAGCAGGGGTGCACCTGGTGAGTGCTGCCAGCAGGGGTGCACCTGGTGAGTGCTGCCAGCAGGGGTGCACCTGGTGAGTGCTGCCAGCAGGGGTGCACCTGGTGAGTGCTGCCAGCAGGGGTGCACCTGGTGAGTGCTGCCAGCAGGGGTGCACCTGGTGAGTGCTGCCAGCAGGGGTGCACCTGGTGAGTGCTGCCAGCAGGGGTGCACCTGGTGAGTGCTGCCAGCAGGGGTGCACCTGGTGAGTGCTGCCAGCAGGGGTGCACCTGGTGAGTGCTGCCAGCAGGGGTGCACCTGGTGAGTGCTGCCAGCAGGGGTGCACCTGGTGAGTGCTGCCAGCAGGGGTGCACCTGGTGAGTGCTGCCAGCAGGGGTGCACCTGGTGAGTGCTGCCAGCAGGGGTGCACCTGGTGAGTGCTGCCAGCAGGGGTGCACCTGGTGAGTGCTGCCAGCAGGGGTGCACCTGGTGAGTGCTGCCAGCAGGGGTGCACCTGGTGAGTGCTGCCAGCAGGGGTGCACCTGGTGAGTGCTGCCAGCAGGGGTGCACCTGGTGAGTGCTGCCAGCAGGGGTGCACCTGGTGAGTGCTGCCAGCAGGGGTGCACCTGGTGAGTGCTGCCAGCAGGGGTGCACCTGGTGAGTGCTGCCAGCAGGGGTGCACCTGGTGAGTGCTGCCAGCAGGGGTGCACCTGGTGAGTGCTGCCAGCAGGGGTGCACCTGGTGAGTGCTGCCAGCAGGGGTGCACCTGGTGAGTGCTGCCAGCAGGGGTGCACCTGGTGAGTGCTGCCAGCAGGGGTGCACCTGGTGAGTGCTGCCAGCAGGGGTGCACCTGGTGAGTGCTGCCAGCAGGGGTGCACCTGGTGAGTGCTGCCAGCAGGGGTGCACCTGGTGAGTGCTGCCAGCAGGGGTGCACCTGGTGAGTGCTGCCAGCAGGGGTGCACCTGGTGAGTGCTGCCAGCAGGGGTGCACCTGGTGAGTGCTGCCAGCAGGGGTGCACCTGGTGAGTGCCGCCAGCAGGGGTGCACCTGGTGAGTGCTGCCAGCAGGGGTGCACCTGGTGAGTGCTGCCAGCAGGGGTGCACCTGGTGAGTGCTGCCAGCAGGGGTGCACCTGGTGAGTGCTGCCAGCAGGGGTGCACCTGGTGAGTGCTGCCAGCAGGGGTGCACCTGGTGAGTGCTGCCAGCAGGGGTGCACCTGGTGAGTGCTGCCAGCAGGGGTGCACCTGGTGAGTGCTGCCAGCAGGGGTGCACCTGGTGAGTGCTGCCAGCAGGGGTGCACCTGGTGAGTGCTGCCAGCAGGTGTGCACCTGGTGAGTGCTGCCAGCAGGGGTGCACCTGGTGAGTGCTGCCAGCAGGGGTGCACCTGGTGAGTGCTGCCAGCAGGGGTGCACCTGGTGAGTGCTGCCAGCAGGGGTGCACCTGGTGAGTGCTGCCAGCAGGGGTGCACCTGGTGAGTGCTGCCAGCAGGGGTGCACCTGGTGAGTGCTGCCAGCAGGGGTGCACCTGGTGAGTGCTGCCAGCAGGGGTGCACCTGGTGAGTGCTGCCAGCAGGGGTGCACCTGGTGAGTGCTGCCAGCAGGGGTGCACCTGGTGAGTGCTGCCAGCAGGGGTGCACCTGGTGAGTGCTGCAGCAGGGGTGCACCTGGTGAGTGCTGCCAGCAGGGGTGCACCTGGTGAGTGCTGCCAGCAGGGGTGCACCTGGTGAGTGCTGCCAGCAGGGGTGCACCTGGTGAGTGTGTTCCCTCATGCTCCTCCCTCCTCTGCCCTGCCCTGCCCTCACCCTCCCCTCCCCTTTCTTTCCTCTCCTGCCCTCCCCTTCCATGCCCTCCCCTGCCCTCCCCTTTCATGCCCTCCCCTGCCCTCCTCTGCCCTGCCGTGACCTGCCCTGCCGTCCCTTCCCTGCCCTGCCTGTCATGCATGCTGCCATGCGAGCAGGTGATGATAGCAGCGGATGCCAAGCCGCCTGTGGCACGAATCCACTTATTTATCCCCTTATGCACATCCCTTTCCTGCCCTGTCCTGTCCTGTCCTGTCCTGCCCTGCCCTGCACTCCCTTCCCCGCCATGCATGCTGCCGTGGGAGCAGGTGATGATAGCAGCGGATGCCAAGCCGCCTGTGGCGCGAATCATGGACTACAGGTGAGCGCTCACTGCTCACTTCACCCACTCACACGAGCTATTTGTCCACCAGGCATACTCACATCTCAGTGATTGCGTGTGGGTGGGTACGCGCTCGTTCGTTCGTGTGTGCCGTTTTCCTTCAGCTCCCTCCCTCAGCCTCGCTCTGGCAAGCAATCAGACACTGTCTTGTCTTGCTTCTGCCTGCTTACTGCTTCATCCCATCCCACCTGTTTCATCCCACCTGTTTCATCCTCGTTACAGCAAGTTCCGGTACGAGCAGCAGAAGAAGAAGCGCGAGCAGCTGAAGAAGGCCGCTGCCAGCCGCCAGGAGCTCAAGGAACTCAAGATGCGGTCAGCTCCCTCACTCGCTCCCTCACTCCCTCACTCACTATCTCACTCACTCCCTCCCTCACTCACTCTTGCACTCTCCCTCAATTTCTCTCGCTCACTCCTCTCTCCCTCACTCCCTCAAGCATCCTCACTCCCTCCCTCGGTCACCCTCACTCGCTCCCTCAATCATCCTCACTCCCTCATCAAATGCTTAGAATGAGGTTAGCTTCTCATGGCAAGCTTTGCACCTACCTGGGTGTGCGACGCAAGATGACATTACTCCTTCTCTTCTCTTCGCACCACTTTCTCTCTCCAAGTGTGTGTTGACCTTTGGATAGCATGTCGTCACTCCCTCACTTCCTTCTGACACGCCCTCACTCCCTTCTGACACTCCCTCACTCCCTTATGACACCCCGTCACTCCTTCACTGAGCCGTCCTTCCCACCATCCTCTCGCTTGGTCCGCCCCCTCTCCCTGCCCACCCCCCGCTTCTGCGCCCCACCCACTCGTCCTCCCCATCTAGCCATGTGGCCCATGTCCAGGGTGCGTTCTTGAATCTCCTTCACTTAGCTGATGCCCCTTCCGCTTGCCCCACCCAGGTACAACATTGTTGGGAGGGGGGGGGGTACAACGTGCGCCTCTACTGTGAGTAAGTGTGAGGCGTTCGTCCCCTCACTCCGCCTCAGCCCCTCCCTCCCCCTTCTGCCCCACTCTTCCCCAGGTACAACACTGACACGGGGGGTTACAACGTGCGCCTCAAGTGTGAGTGACGTGAGGCATCAGTACTTTCACTCTGCTTGTGCCTTCCCCCACCCCCCACCCTCCACCCCCACCACCTCATTCCTCCTCCCCAGGTACAACATTGACACGGGGGATTACAACGTGCGCCTCAAGCAGGCTCTTAAATTCCTCCACGACGGCGATAAGGTGTGATAATCGATGGCGATAAGGGGTGATGCATGATGGTGATAAGGGGTGCATGATGGTGATAAGGGGTGCATGATGGTGATAAGGGGTGCATGATGGTGATAAGGGTGCATGATGGTGATAACGTGCAATGCAGGAGGGCGATAAGGTGTGTTGCATGGTGGTGGTAAGGTGCAATAATTGATGGCAATCAATTGCTATGCATGGTGACTTGACTATAAGAGCTGCACCACACGCATCCACATATTTTCCCCCATTCCTCCTCTGCCCCTCCTCCCCTCCCTTGCTCTCTGCGCTTCCTCGTTTCTCCCTCCCTCCTCCCCCCCTCCTCATCCTCCGTGTGAGTGAGGGCAGGTGAAGCTGACAGTGCAGTTCAGAGGGCGCGAGATGGAGTTGAAGGAGCTGGGAGTGAAGCTAAGTTCCAACATTCCTCCCCTTCCTCTCCACCCCCTTGCTCTCTGCCCCCCCCGTCTGGGTGTGTGTGTCTCAGGTGAAGCTGACAGCGCAGTTCAGAGGGCGCGAGATGGAGTTCAAGGAGCTGGGAGTGAAGCTCTTTGAGAAGTTCCAACACGACGTGTCCGAGGTGAGAGCATGACGTGGCTGAGGTGAGAGCATGACGTGGCTGAGGTGAGCAATGAACATGACGTGGCAGATGTGAGCATGACGTGGCAGATGTGAGCATGACGTGGCAGATGTGAGCATGACGTGGTCTGTGTTCACCTCACCTCAGCGCACACACTCTTTATCCTCGCATCCTCTTCCCTCTCCCCCTTCCGTCCACCTTCCAGCTGGCGATCGTGGAGTCGAAGGCGCATCTGGAGGGGCGGTCGATGCACATGGTGCTGGCACCCAACAAGGCCGTTCTCACCCCCCTCTCACCCTCCACGTATATGCTTCTTGTCCTCTCCCCCTTGCGTCACCTTGCTCCCTCCTTGCAGCTGGCGATTGTGGAGTCCAAAGCACACCTGGAGGGGCGGTCGATGCACATGGTGCTGGCGCCCAACAAGGCCGTGCTGCAGCGCATGGCTGCTGCCGAGGAGAAGAGCCGTCGGGCAGCGGAGAGGAGCAAGCGCGCCGAGACGCGTGGAGTGGTGTCTGGGAGTGAGAGTGCGGGGGAGAGCGCTGGCGAGAGTGATGGGGAGAGTGATGGGGAGGAGGTGGTGGAGGTTTTGAAAGAGCAAAGTGGGCGGCAATAGGTGAAGTGGAAGATTTGGTTTGGGTGAAGAAAATGGGATGAAATACATAAATTTGGAGATGAGTGAAGGTTTCTGCTAGCCAACATCTGAGGTATTATTTGTCAGTCTGTAAAGAATTTCGTAACCATTTTATGATACATCGTTTGTCCCGCTGGCCGTAGTCGCAGCTGTCGGGTCTCGAAAATCCTCAAGTCGCATTGGCGCGAATTTCCAGCTGTGCAAAAGACTTGGCAACCTCCACTCGTCCAGGTTGGCAATATTGACGACGCGTCACGTGCCAACGGCGATGCTGGTTACTCCGTTTCCTGCTAACCGTCAGTTGTCGCAGCAGAGCCAAGAGCAAATGGTGACCAGGGTTGACTCTGCTTCCAGTCGACACCTGTCGTGCGAAGGTAGTAGGCTGGCGAAATCTTGATCTCCAGCTAACAAAATTCATGCGAACCAGAGCGAAGCACACCGTTTCGCTGGTGGGATGGGTTGGGGAAACTAGGGGTGGCGAGGCGCACACATGTGCCTGGCTGGAATCGCAGAAGCAGAAATTGCGAATTGCAGGAGTCAGCAGCAAGTTCTCTCGAGCCAGGGCTGAATTTCCATCCATGCTTGCTTTCTTGGCATAAATGCCGCCCTTACTCTGTCGCTTTCCCTGAACATCAAGAAATTATGCGAGGAGCCATTTTCCCACCTTAGGACAAGCTTTCATTCAATAATCACAAAAGAATCCTTCGACCATGATAGGAGCCTAATAGTAGCATTGACTCACAGATCACAGGGGTTTGACGTGACTTACTTCCGTTGAGGACTCAACAAAATTCAAACCGTCAAAACACTGTTCATAGAATGCCTAGGCAATGTTTGAAGTACTTTCAGGGAAACAATGTTGTTGGTTTATCTAGAGGAATGCTCAAATGTCGAGGTTTCATCAAAGAATCATTGGAAGGTGTGGATGAGCAATCTTCAAGCAGGTTCGGCAAGCACTGCTCCAGCATACGACCAGCATTGCTCATCCTCGCTACAGCAACTGTAACAATGATTTTAGGAGCCCTTTATAACGGATTCACAGTACACTCAAGTTATCGTTATGTGGCAAAATACGTATAATATAAAAATACAAAACAGGTGGGCAGTACTGAAATTGTAATCGTGACACATGAAGTTCGTTATTTACTGTAGAATGCAACTACACGTGTATCTTATATTTCAACTCAACCATACATTTCGGACAAACATTATTTCAATTCCATCCTACTTATATAACCGCATACATCATGCACCACACATCAGATATGTAGCAAGCATTAAGGAACAGCTCATTTCGGGCAAGAAGAGGGTTCTGCAAAAAAAGCAGCAGAATTAGGTCGACACAGTATTAGCACGCTATGAAACGGGCGAAAAAAAAAAACGACGTTTAAGAACCTACCGATCATTGATGCCATTCACCTGCTCGGAACTCCATATTAGAGAACGCCTCGAAGAACCATGATTTGCTTGGCGATTGAAATGGCGATTAAACTTGTGGAAAAAAATCATATTGGAAATAGAATACGTATAAGCGTGCCGAGGTTATCGGAAGTCGCTGGTTAAGAGCGTTGTCACGCTCTCTGGTATTCTGCAAAGAAACATGTACCCACAAGGGCGCAGAAGACAATGCGTATTTGCGAGAATCTGAAACTCACCTGCGCTGATCATGAATTCACAAGCGGGAGTAGGGAGTGACAAGGTAGCCTAATCGCGAGCTTCATGCAGCGAGTCAAACTTCAACGCAGAAACCGTCCGCCACAGCAGGGTTTCACTAGCCTGCAAGAGGGAGGATTCAAGGACAGAGAGACACTCGTATTTAGAACGTGCATATGAGGCAGAAACGGGTAGATAGGAGCAGCCAGAGGAGCGAGGTAGTTGAGTGAGCTAACAAAACGGTGCACGAAATTGTAAGAAGTGAAATGAAAAGGTGCCGAGTTGTGGGTGGAGTTTGAAGGAGGGGGAGAGGAGCATCTCGCACACTAGAAGTGTGGTGTTGTGTCACACGTACGAATTGGCGAAATCTCGAAACGTTGCGAGATGGTTCAACATTTGCAAAATTTCGCTGCCTTGGGTTCAAACAGAACCTAACGAAATTGACGAGATGGAAACCCTTTGCCTTTTGGGTTTCTGTTCGCCTCAACGTTCCAAACCACATCCGCGCTGTCACATCTGATTGTGACAGCGCACCTTCATACGTGACACAGTTTCCTGACGCGTCAGCAACACCTTATCTGATTCGAGTGACGCTATAGCGTGTTCTGCTATAACGCCACGAAAGTCTCCGTCGATGCGAATTCAAAGGTCAGACTTATGCAACCTCGACACCACTGTACACCCAACACAACCAGAGTAAACTCGTTTTACTAACACAAATTGGCACGTGCGGGACGGTTTGGATGTGAACTGCTAGCGGCTGTTGAGACAATGGGAAAGGGGAGATATTGTTCACCTATCTTTCAGCAAACCTTCAGCACTGCTTACCCTCGTAAACACTGTTTCATGTTACCGTAGCAATTGCTCGAGCAATGGTTAGTGCGCAAAGATGGGGAAAACCGAAATTTGGGCATAGTTTGTGGCGTTGTGAATTTTGTTGAGGAGAAACGCCACCACCTGACAGAACTGAAGTTGCCTGCAACGCTTAGTCGAGAAACAAGCAGGTGATTCTTGAAGTCGTTATGTCGAGAGTCGCGGCGGTCGGTCCTTCCGCGGCGCGCGGCACGTCGCACCTCGCGCTGCTGAACCTCCGCGCAATCCGAGTCAATCCAACAGCCACCACCACCGCAACCAGCAGCACAACGCGCGGAACGCTCCCGAGCTACGCCCGACACACGCAGGGGGGCACCACCTCCGCGCAGCAAAGGTCGCAGATCTTCCGACTCCGCCTTCCCCGCCCTCCGCGACCACCCCGCCCATCCAATTCGTCCGCCGCTTCGTGCGCAGGGGCCTGCCGCGCGCTGAAACATCCCCAAAATGTTGCTGACCCGAACCTGACCTCCATTCCGGACTGACCCTGACATGTCCCGTATGTCAGAATGTTATTGTCTAGCCTGCAGTGGGGTACTCCATAGTGAGTACAGCCCAATTAGGGTTTGCTATATGTATCCAACTGCTTGCTAGTGAAACCTCTCCTTTCTTCATTCCTGTTTCGTACATTCTAACATGGTTTCAGAGCAGGTCGACCCCCTTGGGTCGATCCTGTGGGTGGGCCCACCACCTAACTGCTTCCGCTGCTGTTCTGCTTCTCGCGCGCCTCGGGCGCGCGCCGTCTTCTTCCTGCCGCGCGCTGAGCGCGCGGCGAAAATTTTTAGGGTTTTCATCCCGCCGTGCGCTCGGGGCGCGCGGCGAGTTTCTGCCCGCCGTGCGCCCCGAGGCGCGCGGCGGTTTTCTGCCGTGGGGGATCCGCGCGCGCCCCCCCCCCGCCATCCCGTCGCCCGTCGCGACGCTCAGGGGGGCCGCGCGTCGCCCTGCCCGTCGCCCGTCGCGGCGCCCTGGGCTCTAGCGCGTCGACCCCCCCCCCTCCCGTCGCCCGTCGCGGCGCCCCGGGGGGCCGCGCGTCGCCCCTCCCGTCGCCCGTCGCGGCGCCCTGGGGGGCCGCGCGTTCCCCCCTCCCGTCACTCGTCGAGGCGCCCTGGGGGGCCGCGCGTCGCCCCTCCCGTCACTCGTCGCGGCGCCCTGGGGGGCCGCGCGTCCCCCCCTCCCGTCACTCGTCGAGGCGCCCTGGGGGCCCGCGCGCCGCCCCGCTTCCGCTCACACACCGCCCCAGCTGCTGCCCCCGTTTTTGCCCTACGTTTGGGGGTATGGGGGTGGCAAGTATGGGGGTGGCGGGTGTGTGATCCGTCCCCTACTCCTCCTCCTCCTCCGTCTCCCACTGCTGCAGCTGCCGCTGAAGGGGGTGGGTGTGTGGGAGCCGAGGGTTTAGGGGTTAAGGGGGGTGCCGTGGGAGTGGAGCTAGGGTTCAGCAGGGGGTGTGTGTCAAGGGTGTGGGTCAGTTGGAGGAGGTTGTGTGGAGGTAGCCGTCTTGTCGTCCGCAGCACCTGTAGTCCGGGGCGCTGTCCTGGTAGCCTAGAGAGCCTGCTGCGCCTGTCGCCCGTGGGTCCGTTGCTCCTGTAGCTCCTCGTAGCCCGTGAACCAGTTACTCCAGTAGTCCGGGGCGCTGTCCCGGTAGCCACTGTGCCAGCAGCTCCTGTTGCCCGTGTGTCTGCAGCTTCAGCCGTCGTCTCCCATCTTCTCTCATCTCACAGTCCCTCCTCCTCCTCACTTGCCCGCTGTGACTACCACTAGCTTTGCTCATAATTGTGAACTATTACTATGCTTGCTTGTTGTGCTGATTACACCCCACTTTGGCTATGGGGGTGTGTCAGAATGTTATTGTCTAGCCTGCAGTGGGGTACTCCATAGTGAGTACATCCCAATTAGGGTTTGCTATATGTATCCAACTGCTTGCTAGTGAAACCTCTCCTTTCTTCATTCCTGTTTCGTACATTCTAACACCGTACCTACCCCAAGAGGAACTTTGGGGACATTTCTGGGTTAGCGGTCACCCCTGGGTCAGTATTGGGTCAATGAGTTTTCCGCCCCCAACCTAACCCTAGGGCAAACTGACCCGTATGTGTCCCAAACCTGCCTACCCCTCGGGCGTTGACCGCCCGGGTTCGATTCTCGCCGTCAACACAAAATATGGATCCACGCTATTAGTAGCCCCAATATTATACAATGACAACCGGAAACGATGGGAGCGTGGTGTACCCCACCCACTAAAAACTAGATAGTTTTTACAACTGCTTACGCGTCGCAAGTCACAAACAACAGTACTCGTACACGGAACGCCAGTGAACAGCGGGTCACAAGAGTTCTAACTAGCGAGACGCAAGCGTTCTCACACAACAACATCCGTACTTGAACTGGCAATCCTTTCTCAAGTAGCGCCGTAGCAGGGTTCATTTAGGGTCACCAGATAGTGCCTACCCACGCATCTCCACACAACTGCAACCTGTCACCCGCCCCCATCACTCATCAAACAGGAAACGGTTCACCAAAGAGAACCGAGGCTCCGTGAAGCATGGGACAATGTGTGCGAGGGACAGAATGCAGTCAACCTCGACAACGGCATACTCATCCTCCCCCACAGTTGGCACAAGCCTGACGCATCCCGTCACGGGGCATGGAGTGGGGTGCTCGTCGAAATACCCCACCACAGCACGCCTGTGAATCTGGCCCTCGTCGTTCTTGAAATGGAGGAGCATAAGGCACCGGGCATACCACTCGCCTCCCCCCCCAGCTATCGACACGTAGCTGAACTTCCCCTCACCCGGCGCGGCCTTCACCATGTGCCCTGGCCCACGGCCCAGGAGGCGGTCGTGTGGGGGAATCGCCATCGCGGTGTGCACCTGCACACAACGAAAGGCGCGCGTATGGAATCACGTGACTGTCCCAGGCGAGACGCAAAAACAAAAGGGACAAGCAACGGGAACCCACACCGACATGCGAGAACATGCCCACCAAGCAGGACATTACCTGCACGCCTGAAGCAGCGATCCCCACACGCTGCATCACCCGTGCGATCCCCTCCATCACGACAATGCCCAGGGCGCCGCCGTATTCCGCCCAAACGGGGTCCTGTGCATCCCCCACCACAATGCGCCTGGAATGTCGGGTCAGCACCCGGGTGTTGTGCTTCACCGCCTGAGTACACGCACCGCACGATAGGAAAAAAACAAGAGCATACATGTGGATCAAGCATGCCCCAATGAATTGAAGAAACACACGCCGTCTCATTGTTCTAACAATGAGCAATGGCACGACACCATCCCATGCAACCGTCGCTCAAAATGGCACACCTTGCGCATGGCGGTCTCGTACGTCCTTCCGCCCTCTTCCCGACCCATGCCCCTGATTGCCTCGTTGCGTGCGTGGCGAAGCGCAATGTCTCTGCCCACGTCCCGCCAGTTCGAGTTCCTAGCAGGCCATTTGCAGCACCTCTTGTGCATGGCCTCGTAGGTGTTGGTAGAGTACTCGGACGGCATGCCATGCATCCTGATGGCATGCGGAAGGTGCCGGAGAAGATGCACCTTCGGCAGCCGCCACTGCGACTTCTGCTTGGGGAAGACCAGCTTCAGCTCCGCGATCAGCCTGCGCATCATCGTACGGCAACGCATGCCGGGGAGGGGCATGAGAGGCAGGGGCATGCGAGGGAGGGGCATGAGAGGGAGGGGCATACCACGTAGGGGCATGAGAGTCAGGGGCATGATAGGCAGGGGCATGAGAGTGAGGGGCATGAGAGGGAGGGGCATGATAGGCAGGGGCATGCGAGGGAGGGGCATACCACGTAGGGGCATGAGAGTCAGGGGCATGAGAGGCAGGGGCATGAGAGTGAGGGGCATGAGAGGGAGGGGCATGAGAGGCATGGGCATACGGCTGAGTGGAATGAGAGTCAGGGGCATGAGAAACAGGGGCATGAGAGGGAAAGGCATACAACCTAGGGGTATGAGAGTCAGAGGCATGAGAGGCAGGGGCAGATAAGGGAGGGGCCTGAGAGGCAGGGGCATGAGAGGCAGGGGCATGAGAGGGAGGGGCATTCCACGTAGGGGCATGGGAGTCAGCGGCATGAGATTGAGGGGCATGAGAGGCAGGGGCATGAGAGGGAGGGGCATGAGAGGGAGGGGCATTCCACGTAGGGGCATGGGAGTCAGGAGCATGAGAGTGAGGGGCATGAGAGTGAGGGGCATGAGAGGGAGGGGCATGAGAGGCAGGGTTATACCGCTGAGTGGAATGAGAGTCAGGGGCATGAGAAACAGGGGCATGAGACGGAAAGGCATACCACCTAGGGGCATGAGAGTCAGAGGCATGAGAGGCAGAGGCAGATAAGGGAGGGGCCTGAGAGGCAGGGGCATGAGAGGCGGGGGCATGAGCGGGAGGGGCATACCACGTAGGGGCATGAGAGTCAGGGGCATGAGAGGCACGGGCATGAGAGTGAGGGGCATGTGAGGAAGGGGCATGAGAGGCAGGGGCATGAGAATCAATTGTATGAGAAGGTGTCAACCGCTTACACAAGGGTCTTTCTCGTCGCATCTTCTAGGGACGCTTCGGTGTGATATGCCACGCGGAAATACGCCCGGTACCACTCGTTGAAGAGGACGACCACGCGAGCAATGTCCTCGTGGCCAGGCAGGTGAGCGACCAGCGGGACAATCTGCATCATGGCCCTGTGCTCCCATGCGGCGTACTGGGACACCGTCCCAAAGTAGGCCGAAGGGTCCGGATGCCGGAGAACAGACGACGGCGTCACTACCATGACCGCCTCGCACTGACTGCGGCCACGAGCAGAAAATGTCGACAAATGACATAAACAAGCAATGAGGATATGTGCGCGCAGCCGCACACACAAACATGGTAAACGCCACATGCGAGTGAAAGCCCACAATCGGTACCTCAGAAGAAGGAGCTGCTCTGTGGGGGTTAATTTGGCCACCAGGCATCGCATGGTGTGCAGCCAAAGCCCCTCGTCCACCACGTGCATGATGCAGATTCCAATGACCTCGTACAGGTTCCCCCAGGGTATGTCGACGTGCGCCCATTCCCACAGTGCGCACTGCCAAACCGCACGGAGATAATGCTGAGATCGCCGCACGAAATCCGCCACCCAAATCACGGCCGCGGATTGAACAACTGAATGACCAGCACTGCAAGCCACGTAGTGGGTAACTCACCTTCACAAAGTGTGTGCACCATGCAGACTTTGCATTTTTGCGCTTCTTTGGGTTGGTACCCGCGATCGCTCGTACACGTCCTTCTGGCCTTTCACCGTGCGTGCCTTGCTTGCAATGTTCAGGTCCGCAAGGTCCCACTTGCTCACGAGGCACATAGAGCAAGGTTGATTTGACGTGGCTGCCCATGTGCATGTCACCATGCACGACTCGGTGTGGTCGCACACGTACTTGCTCAGGAGTGGAAAGACCCTCTGTTTCCTGCCCAAGTGATCGTTGACCATGATTCCCCCACTGCCCATGATCGGGGCCCACGCGTGGACACAAGCGAGTGTGAGAAAGTACATTTAACCACTCCCCCACGGGGTGGGCCCATACACCCGTGGTATGCAGCACCTCCCAATCCTTTATCCGCAACGTACCTCTCGACTGATGATGCCCGCATGAGTGGCCCTAGTACCAGCCGAAGCATCTCGTGCATGAGATCTGTCTTCTGCTCCGCTGACAAAATTGCAGGTAGCGTGGGGAAGAGGGCCACCATCTCCACGCCACCATCTAGCCATCTGCTGGCCTCGGGAATGTTGTCCAGGGAGAACATCATCGGGTGGGCCAGCTGCCTCCCATTAAACGTGAGATGAGTCGCATCACTGAACAGAATCACCGCAGCCACTAAGCCGGCCCCCCGTAATGCCTCATGTAGGGTATGGGTCGGACACAGACAGAGTTGTGGGTGTACAAGCCACACTAGGTGTAGACAGTACCCCGGTGAGGGGATATGAGCCCGTGAGAACTAAGGGGAGCGGTTGTAGTCGGGTGCAAACGTACCCATGCCCTCCAAAACCAGTCGCAGTCCACAACAACCCCGTAACGTCTCTCGTCGTCCACCTCCACTTTCCGTGGTTGCGTGGTGAAACCCTCGACTCGGGACATCTTCTCCCACATCCTCAGCAGAATCTGCGTGAAGAAGGGTTACTCAATGAGCAGCATGACAAAGGGTCAAACCCCCAGAACAGTGGAGGGCCTCTAACACTAAGCTACTACAAAACTCACACGAACGAGCGGCCGAAACCGAAACGTCACGACACCCAGACCCCCCTGCAGCTCCATCTCGCGTGACTCCCATTCCTCCCCATATGACAGGTATTCCTCCTCGAACCGTTCGAGATCCCGATATGTCTGCCACAGATCCACCTCTGAGGGGGCCCCGTTGCCAGCTTTAGCCAACTGGATGATGTCGGTTATGGCTGCATTAGGCAAAAAGTAGGTCCGCGCAATGCGCGCTATTTCGAACCTGATGTCCCGACTGAGACCTGCTTCTGGCACGTCCCCCGACTCCCCAGATGCGACCGACGGCGCTGACTCTGCTGATGACGACGCCTGCCCGTCATCGCCATTGGCGTCCACCCCGTCGAGATCGCGAGCCGTGCGTGGCTCAAATGGCCCGTCACTGCGCCGACCATCTGCGTGCACGATCGTGATTAACGGCGGCCGATAGAATCGGCCGTACGGAATGCCTAAGGCCGCTAAGCGGTCCTGTTCGTACAGACACTTTTTGTTCCTGTTCTGATGTCTACGCAGTCCACCGTAGCTTTTCAGTAATTTCTCGCAGAAGGGGCATGTCGCGTACGGCATAGTAAACGTGTCCGCCTCTGAACATGACAACCATGATAACTTAAACCGTGCTAGCTGTCACACCCGAGCTTAACCGCTTCGTAATCGTTGCACGGGGTGATGGGGTAGTGACTACAACTTATGGCAGGCGTAGGGAGCTGAGCGTCAACTAGGGTTTCCACGCGTGCCTGCCCTCTTGACCTGGATTTCAGCAGGGCGTAACTTTGTGTGCCTGTAATGTGTAGCGGACAATATACTAGGATGAACGTAACAGGTTACAAACATTACCTGACGCCACTTGGTATCTGGCATTTTGCTACCCTAAATAAATATATTAGACGCATATTGGCCGATACCAGACTTACGCTTCACTATGAGATTTTCCATGCACGCCACGCCAGTCTACAAAGGGCAAGAACGGAAGGTCACATGTGAGAGTAGATGTAGGCCACCATTGTGACCACATATAAAAAGTCATAAATAGAGCAGCAATACTAGCCAACATAGGATGTCTCTCTACGCCGCATCACAGTCCTTGCGTGGGCGCTTGACACTAGGGATTGGCATCAGCCGGTCCACAACATCGATGAAGGTGATGGCGGTGTCGAAAGTCGGCAGCCTGGCCACGGCTGCACAACCAGGAGAGGGGGTAACGTCAATGACACTGCGTACGTCCATTTGCAGTAGACTGGCGCATGGCATTTGCCAGTCACGACAGGCATCTCACCTCGAGCCAGTGCTTGCACATGAGCCATGGATGGGATCGGTAAGGGAAATGTGGCAGCTTCCCTCGCATCGTTGGTTCCTGCAGATTTGAGTTAAAGGGTGAGAAATGGTACGAGGTTACAAGCAAGGTAGCCTAGCCGATCCTCACCTTCCGTGGCTAGGCGGATGGCTGAAGGAACGGGCATCAGTCGCTCTACCACGTCGATAAACGTAACAGCCGTGTCGAAGTTTGGCAGTCTGGCTGCAGCTGCACGAGTGGAGGGGTAAGATGGATAAATGACGTCATTTTAGAGGTACAAGGGAACAGGGTGCCCGTCGAATGCCACACACCCGAAGAATCTCACCTCGCGAGGCACGAGTTACATTTGGCAATGTAGCTGCAAGCACCGGCACACGAGGCTCCTGGTGGGTACCTCCAGTGCCTGAAATGATGACCAGGGGAATGGTTCAGTCAGACTGGAAGGACACCATTTTTCTTAGAGCGCAAAGCGCACTTAGCGGGAGGTATGACCCATGCTGAAATGGCTCTGAGGGGACCGTGAGTTGCGGTACAAGGTCCACACCTGTCATGGCACTGGCATGCGGGGGGCCATCATGGTTCGGTGACGCCGTCCGCGGATAGACTCCAGGCCCGGCCTGCCCGTCGCCATCATCCTTGCACACGTCAGCATTGCGATCTATGTTGTCACCTTCGCCGAGAACCGCAGTTGATGCTGCCTCCCCTTTCAGCTCAACCGTTTCGGTCACAGAGTCCTGCTGCTGGGTCCGGGCATGTTTGCGAGTTGGTCCCGGCAATGATGCATTCTTGGGTGATGTTGGCGCAAAACCTTCGCCACGTCCGTCATCAAGCTTGTTTGCGCGGCCCTTAGCGTCAGGGCTCACCCCCACCACCTTAGGATCTGCATTGGCGACTGCCACCGGCTTTCCCGCGTGATCGTGTTGACAAGCTGGGCCGTCGACCCTGATGACCAAGTCTTCTCGCTTTTCGCCGACCACACCTGCAGCTCCAAGCCCCGTTGCACCCCCGGCTAGGGGGTTCGTTGAACGGTAAGTATGAGGAAGTTTCTCGTGTGGCGCTATCAGTGCTGACGCGCACCCTCCGCGCAACTCCGATGTTGTTTTGTTATTGGCAGGACGAAGTGAGCGGAGGTCCTCCTCCGTCGCAGGAGTTTCTGTCCCGAGGTCCGGTGACCCGGTGTATATCTGCGTCTCCGCCTCCATTAGCGCGTCTACCGGCTCCCCTAGCGCCACGGGCTCCTCATCACTTTGGCCGTGCCCGGCGGGGTGGTTGGCGCCCATAGGCTGAGATTCTCCACCGTACCGTGGATCAGTACCCTCCCAGTTGTAGAATCGAGCCCGGGGTTTAAAACACGGTAGTAGAAACGCACCGCTCCTATATACATCCTCCGGTAGTCCACAAAATGGGTCTTCAGATGATACGTCCGCGCCGACGCCGTTTACCGTATGCCCTGCATGCTGACTGTTTGCGCGCTGGAGTGGCGCGCTTCGCATGGAGGCCATGGTTGTCGAAGTGAGCTGTGGTGTGGGGGTTGGTTTCTCGGCGTTGTAAGCGTGGTGTGCTTGACCACTGACTAGGGTTTCGGGAATAGTGACGGCAATCCCGACGAGCCCTTTTTGATTGGGTGGTTGTCACGCTAATCCCATCCTCGATATTGTTTGTATGGCAGGAACCATGAGTAAATGGTCATCTTTATAACGTTTTCAATGGTTATAAGATGAAGCCTGTACTGGAACCCTGAGCATTGGACCATTGGTCACAACGTATTACAATTACAAAAACAATGCTAAGACGATGAAACGCCCAGCTGCTTGGGGTACCAGCTGCTCCATTCAATGAAATCCTCCCTAATATCCTCCCTCCATTCTGTGGGATCACCCCACAGTGTGATCGACCCCGTGTTTGCAAACGCGGTGTCCACCATCACCTGCATATACTTCATCACGTACATACCACAGTCATGCTCGTTCGACTGTTTTGTGACCTGCGACACACAGAACATCATACACATAGTGAGAAAATACATTGTCCTGCAGTCGGAATAGATCGTGAGCATCATCTGTTTTTGCGACATCCGCTCACGAATTCTGCGTTCCATACCTCCATGGTGACGAGCTCCACAGAAGTCTCCCATAGTTGCGCCTCTATGTCTGTGACAAAGGGCCGATACCCAGTGAGCTGAGCCACCAGATAACGTCTAAGCGGTCCAGCGATGTCCGTGTGTAACGAGAGTGAGTCGGCATGAAGGATGCGGGTAGGTCGTGGGATGTTGTGATCGTCGACGGGGCCGTCATTGTCCAATATGACAAGGCTCCAGTGGCCACTGCAAGAACGAAGGCAATAATGGGTGCCATCATCAGAGTATGGGATCGCATACAGGGGCTGATGAGGGCGACAACACATGTAAAAGACTCACGCGGAATGGATCGGGACAATGACCCATTTGTAGGTCAGAAGATTCTCTCCGTGCGCGAAGTTGCGCAGCGCACGAGCAGTGTTGTCGCCGGAAATCAGCGTATAAAGGTATGTCCCCGCGTATAGCCACGTCCTATCGTCTCTGTTGGTCTCATATTGAAGCAGACTGCGACAACAAGCAAGCCACCAAATGCAATATGCCTTAGTATATACCTTTCATCATCAGTTGTTGAAGAGACGCATGAGATGCGACGGTTACTCACATGCCCCACCATTCAATGATGTCGCCAGACACCCACTGGCCCGGGGACAGGGTGTCTAGCTGTTTCTGCGTCAACGATAACCACGAGCCTCCTAGTGGGTACGGGATGCTGTACTTGCGCATACGGGAGGTCGAGGCTTTGGACTTCCTAGGAGGCATCTTAGACGGATGGTCTACTGAGACTGAGATTTCGACGCACAGAGGCAGGGTCTTTATCTCTTCTCAGCTTGCAAGCATCGCGCGGATCGGGGGACTGGAAATGGTGGACTGAACACGGGAGCCTTGTACGGGATCGTACATTCACCAATGAACACGCTTCGGTGGTGCTCGGTTCATTAGTTTGCACATCACAAATGCACTCGATCACCATGGCTTACTGTCGCTGGAAACATCGACATTTTATGCTGGGTGGAGAGCTGGATGAGCGGGTCACCTTGTAACGACCATTCTCTTTTGGGTAGCAGTTAACTTTGTTCGTTAAGGAATGGGTATCCAATTAAACGGGGTGTGGTGCCACCAGTTGTCAGGGTTCGAGGTACTGGGGTGAACCTCGGGGACGATAAGGTTACACGTCATCGGTGCAGTTCGAGGCGGACACGTGGACAGGTGTCTTCCCTAAACGGCCAATCATGCGCATCGTGTACAGGGGTGTTGTACACCGCACTGACGGTTTAGATTGGTACAGTCGGGCATAGCTCCAATCCACGGCTGTCAGGCACTTCGAAGGCCACGCCCCCAATGGAGCTGGAGCCGATGCACGCGTCTGGTTGGTTGATGGTTGCCTGGCTTCTGTTCTTTGTTGTCACTGTGCGTTTTTGGCGAAACCCGTGCTTTGTCTCATTGGGTACTTTACGAAACCCTAGCTAAGGCTCATCTGAGCAGGCCGTTGTTGCTAGAGTCGCCATATTGAATAAGACAGTTGGAGGTCAGAACGATGTCTCTAACCTTAGACCGACCTATGCGAGATAGGAAGCCACCCGCACACCTGAACGCAACAGATTTCGTTTTGACAACGGTCCGCACAAGAGCGCTTGACAGCAGATGGCTGGAAGAGAGTGAGCGCACGCGGGTGCTCGTCGCCGAATATCGTACTCGGCGTCTACGTGGCGCCAGACATTTGCCTCCAGGCCAGAGTCAGGAGACCCACGGTGTCAGCGCCGTCACACGCCAGCAACCGTTGCCTAATCCATACGGCCAGACTCCAGAGGAGGTGCACGCGGAGTGCGAAGCACGGAGATGTCACCATACGAAGCTGTTGACGGACATTACGTCTGCAAACGCGGAGCCTCCAGAACAGTCCAACAAGGCCGCGAGTAAGCCAGTGCTCTCAGCCGTGAACCCGCATGCCAAACGCTGTTTTCGTCCTTGGAATGTTATGCGGAAGTGTTTGCCGCAGAGGGTTGCTCAACATATGGTGAGAGGGTTACTCACCGAGCTACTAAGTAGCGTCTGCGTTTGTTGTTGCAGGTGAATTTCCGGGGATAAGCGGGGACACTGAGCTCGGCGGTCCACGCAGCACCGAGTGCGGCCCTGAGGCATGGATGAAGTACAACGAGCTGCTGTTCACAGTGCAACACTCATCTTGCTCTGAAGAGGGGGACGTAGAAGGCGAGGCTACCGAGTCGTCAGCCTGTGACAGCGAGGATCAGTCTGGCGACGCGGACTGGGTAGCAAACGAGTGCGAGTCAGAAGGGGAGACTGATAACACGAATCCTCCCTCTCACCAATCTGAACTTGCAGGAACACAAGGTATGGGCCAATCGGCATCAGGCCGAGCGGGTAAGCGCTTGCGACCCACCGGGAACAACTCCACTCGCTCACGCTGTGACGCGACGCCGTCTGTGCTTCGCCGGGTCGTGGCTGTGTCGACACGGGCGTCTGGAATGCGGTGCAACTTCTTTAACATCTATGAGCAGACAAGCGACGGTGACATTCCGTCGGCTACAGGCCAGAGCGCGAATGTCGCACGAGGCGAGCCGGCGACGCCGGAGACCCGACTACAGGGGAAATTTCTGACACCAGTCTCTACGGCGGCGGCGGGTCATGGCGGGTACCCGGCGACATCGACCCCCACACCTACCACCCCTCTGTGTCGCTCCCAAGATGTCGTCAGGGGATCGGCTCTTTCCGGTAATTCCGCGCGGCCGTTGCCGCGAACACCAACCACAACACTTAAGCACAGTGGTGTGGAAGCCGAGTCCAACGCAGGACCATCTCGTGCTCAAGGTACTGGCGGAGGGTCTGTGAATCGCAGTTTGTTGGCCTCGCCGCCAAGGATGCCTCCTTATAGAACGACAGGCTCACCTTCTAACTTTACCCCTGCCACGCCCTTGGTAGCACCTTCACCGCAGTTGCACGACCGTGGTCCGGAGGGAGAGGGTGTGTTGCCTGGCATGATTCCCACCCCCTTCCTGCCAACATGCGATGACATTAACGCCAGTGGACGTGACGCGGACACCGGTCTTGGCGGCGCTGCGTCTGGACACGACGTCGCCGGGCATGCGATGGCGGAAATACAGAGGTTGTGGGCGCAGGTTCAGGCGGTTCGTGGGACAGGGGATCCCGCAGCAGGATCAGCGCCGAACGTGCCGAACTTCACACTTGGCGAAGATGTGCATGCGGCTCTTGCGGGAATGAACGACCTGGAGGCGGAAGTGTCGGGCAAAGTAGCGGGCGATGTCACGCCAGGCATGGCAGCCCAGCCGCCGGTGTGGAGGCCGCACGGCAGGGCGCCCGATGCCCCTCAACAGAGTGGGGTTCGGAGGGACGCAACACCGGCGACGCAGGCACCAACACGGCCCGCCAGAGCTGCATCCAAGTTACCGCCACTTGCAGACGCCTTTGAGAGGCCAAACCGCGGATTCGAGTTGAACCGACTGGCAGGAGCGGGGAGGCTGGCGAATGTGGGGAACCCCATGGCTCGCCGGGTGGGCGGCGTTGGCGTAGGGACTGAGACGGGGATGGCCGGTGGAAGCGTAGCGCCCGATGGTGGCGGGTGGGATCGACATGCGCCGGTCATGCAAGGAAGAGGGTTGAAGAGAGAGCGATCGCGGATGACAATCGTGGTCGACTACAACCCGAACGATGCCAGATGTGATTTGCAGCCGGGAATGCCTCCGGCCTCCGAGATTCATGTACGTGTCTAACGCTTTTATTTAGGGTGACCCGGGTCGCGGGCTCGGTATGGTTATGAATGCCGGGGCGTGTTGTGCCATTGGGAACGAAACCAGTTTTTTTGAAACGCTTTCGGTGCCTGTGGCGTCATCTAGTTACCCCCCCCCACCCAGTACCCCAAGTACCCCTCCCGCCATCCAGTTCTACGTGAAGAAGGCAATGCATCTGCTGTTGCGTTCCTGCGCCGCGCATGGCGTCACGTACTGGCCGACGGACGACGAGAGGAACGTGGCCCTTCTCGTTGTGCTACGGTGCCACTACGACGTCTGTCAGCTCGATGTGGACCGCGCCATGGAGAATGGGGCGTACTGCAAAGTGGTCAACAAGATCTGGTCGAAGTTCAGGAGCGATTCCTTGTCGCAGGGACGCCAGAGGATTGTGGATGGGCTTGAAATCGCGGTCGCTGCCCCCGGCATCTACAAGCTGGTGATCGATATCGACACCAAGAAATCCCTGTGGGGCCGCTATGCGCCCAGTGAGTGTAGTGGGTGCAAGTGGGGTATCAACCTTGGGGCTTACACGACCAGGAGCATTCCGCGAGTGCAGGGGTTGTTAACACTCACACTTGTTGGTCCATGGGCAGATAAGGAGCTAATGCAGATTGTATCGACTTGGAACTGCGCGGATGGGGATTTGCGCCCATTTACTTCAAGGGTGTTTTTTCCAAGCATGCAAGGCGGCATACCCAGAGTGGGTGTTCGGCGGCAACATGGTGCTGGTTCGATACCACATCGCCTGGGTGTTGTATTCCGTGAGCGCCTCCTCCCATGCGCTGTATGTTTTACCTCCCCCATGTAGCCCACTGACGGTCACCTTGTACAACTAACGTTATGGCAGTTCGATTTCGGGATACGCAACTGGAAGACAACCGCGATATGCATGACTCCTAGCCCCTTGGACAACGAGGGGGGGCTAGGACACTGTAATCCTATGATGTGAACCATCCGAACCACCCTCCGAAGCACCATCCGAGTTCCCACCGGACCACATGATGTGTGGGAGGAGGAGAGGTGGTGGTAGGAGGGTGGTTCGGATGGTGGTTCGTACGGAGGTTCTGATGGTGGTTCGGGCAATCCTATGCTGGACTCTCTACGGGAGCAGAACGCCAAGTTGATGGGAGGCTGGTGGTCCGGTGGTTCGGGTGAAGCCTGGGATGAAGGTTCGGAGGGGTTTGGTGATGGTTTTGAAGAGGCTTGGAATGGCTGGGGTGGAGGCTCGGGCAATGGTAAGGATGGAGGTTGGGACGATGGTTTGGGAGAAGACTGGCAGGATGGTTGGGGAGAAGATGATTGGGGAGAAGATTGGGAGGATGGTTGGGGAGAAGAATGGGAGGATGGTTGGGGAGAAGACTGAGAGGATGGTTGGGGAGAAGATGATTGGGGAGAAGACTGGGAGGATGGTTGGGGAGAAGACTGAGAGAATGGTTGGGGAGAAGACTGAGAGAATGGTTGGGGAGAAGACTGAGAGGATGGTTCAGGAAGAGATTGGGGCGATGGTTGGTAGGGAGGCAGGGCCGATGGGAGAGCAACAAGGGGAGTAGCGCTGACCTGAGCTGCCAGCCCTCCATCCACCACCCATCACATCACCTTCCCCAGTCTCATCACTCCTCCCACATCTCCCCCTATGACCCCTCCTCCCACCACCTCTCCTCCTCCCACACTCCTCCTTCCACCACTTCTCCCCCAACCTGCATGATTGTATATATGATGTGATATCTGATAATGATATCCTTTATATTTTCTGCTTGTGTGAGTTCACGTCGATTGCCCGTGTTCTTTTGAACTTATTGCATTCAGTGGCTGTCAAAAAAATGTTCCCCCCTACATATGGCTGGCAGATGTTGTAAGTGATGCAAGCGCTGGACCCTGATGGTTGGTTGTTGATGCACCATCACACTCAGTGCACCATGGCGCTGAAGTCATGGGCTGATTGCAGCTAGCATTGCTGAGGCAGAACCTGCTGCGCTGCTGTGTAGGATGGAGAGATTCTGTGTGGTTGGAGGCGGTTGATGGTTTCCGGGGAAACGAACGCAACACGCTTTATAAAATGCATAATTGGAGGCTGTCACGTCGCGAGTTTCTGGATTTCTGCACATAGCTTTGCGTAGTTTTTACCAACGGCCTCATATGCCTTTTCTTACATGCATGCTGATGTTGCGCACCAAGGAAGGAAGATGAGTTTCAATACACGTGGACGGACCACTAGCAAACATCAAAAAGAGAAATCACCGCCCGTGAGTGCACAGAACCAACTCTGCTCAGTCCTGCAAACACAGAACCTCCAATGCTACTCGATGTCCCCTGGTCTCGCTCGCCCTCAACCCCACCTCCCTACACCCACTCCCCCATGTTCGCCTCCCCCACCTTCCCTTCCCCCACCTCTTCCCTCCCCTTCCCAGCTCCACGACCTCTGCCACCACCCTTGCTGGTACCCGCGAAACTATATCCCCCCTTTTGCCGTCTTGAAACGGAAGAACCACATGATCTCATTTCACTGCTTGGCGCCTCTCCCCCCCTCCACCTTCACGCCTTCGGCACCACTTTTGCAGCTGCCCCCTCCCCGTGCACCTTCACCTTAGCATCTCCCACACCACTCCTCTCTTTTTTTTTGTCACTTTCTAAAGAGGAAGGCCGATGCATTCATTTCACTCCTTGCTGCATCCCCCAACCTCCAACCCCTCTGCACTGCTTTTGCTGTCGCAGCACACATTTTATGTTGAGTGTACTTTTACAATAGGCTTGGTAGAGGTGCACTATCGAGGGTTCCTGATTTGCATATTCTCTTGCATTTTCCCATTCTTGTTAGGTCTGTTCACGCTGCACACTACGCGCCCCCCTAGGCTTCTGCGTCTGGCCAGGCAGTTGCGTCGTGCTTGTGTCGGTCGCTCACTCACCCGTCAATCCTGTGGCATCACTGTCTAGGTCACCTCGCCTTCACGTGACTCCGTCACATGGTTCACCACCGTCTTGTCTCAGGTCTCGCATCGTCGCCCCTCACTCCTCGTTTCCTCGTACCACTGCACCTCTCCAGCCCTTGCACATGGACCTCTGGGGCCCTGCCCCCATCCGTGTGCCGTGCCAGGAGCACTACTTCCTGGTAGTTGTGGACGACTTCTCTCGCTTCACCATGGTGTTTCCCTTGAAGCGGAAGGCCGGCGTGCTTAACTCTCTCCTCCAGTGGGTCCTGGCCATCCACGCCCAGCGCGGCCGGTATGTGCTTCATCTGCACTCTGACCGTGGTGGCGAGTTTGCCTCTGGTCGACTTGACAGTTCTGTCGCGTGGAGGGTATCCGCCAGACGTAATACCTACCGGACTAGCCGCAACAGAATGGGGTCGTTGAGCATTGCATTGGTTTCGTCACGGAGATTGCTCGTACCTCTATGTGCCATGCCAGTGCACCCCATTTTCTATGACCGTTTGCTATCCGCCACACTGCGCACCAGCTTAACATGTGGACCCATGCCTCATGCCCACTGGTTTTGCCGACCCTCCCCTGGACTAGATCCTCTGGTGCTACACCAGTGTTTCGCGCCTGGGATTGTCTTGCTCACGTTTGTGACCCTCGCTCACACTAGCTCTCATCGTGCACTCTCCCCTATGTCTTCCTCGGGTCCCCCCTAGACGCCCTTGACTGGCAGTTTCTACCACTCTTCGTCTCACCATTTCTTCCGCTCTCGTGACGTTACCTTTGACGAGTTTGTCTACTTCTGCACCCGCTTCCCTCACCGGGGTACCTCAATTCCCTCCCCTCCCCTCTTTCTCACTCCCACTCCTCCCAATGGTCCCACTCCTCCGCTTTTCTCTCCTACCCTCGCGTCCTGCCTTGTCTGGTATGTCACACGTTACCCCCTTTCCCTCGGTTGGGCTGGTGGGGGGGATTGCTGCCTCGTGTGTCACTGCCCCCCCTTCCCCCCCCGCATCCACTGCCGCAGCAGCAGCAGCCATTGTCGCTGCAACGACCAGTTACTATGGACTCTAGGGGTGCTACTGTTGGACGTGCTGGTTTGGGAGGTGCAGCTAAGATGGGTGCTGGCTCTAGGGATACAGGCTCAGGGGGTGCTACCGCAGGAGGTTAGGGCCCTGAGGGTGCCGCGGGCCCTCTTTGTTCGATGCAACTACAACAGCAGAAGGAGCAGCAGTAACAGCTGCACTAGCAACAACAGATGCAGTAGCAGCAGCTGCAGCAACAGTCATCACCACTTGTAACTGCACTTCGTCTGACCGCTCACCATCTCTACCTGTTTACAGTCCCACGTTAACTCCCTCGTACTCGTCTCAGGCTTGTTCTCCTCGTTCATGGTTGTCACCTCCTCTCCTCCCTGACCCATCTCTTGCCTCTTCCCCCTGGTCTCGTTGTCATGCTAGTGCTCGCGCCTTGTCTCACGTTCCCGGTGTCCACTCTATGATCCTCCGCTCTCTCCCCCCTCGTGTTCTGCCACCTCCTTTTCTCTCATTGCCTCGTCAATCGTCTTGTCTCCTCTCCTCCGTTATCTGACTTCCTCTGTGCTGCTTGTCCTACGGTCTCACATGTCCTTTTCTCCCTTGTTACAGACCCTACAGCTTCTATGTCATCTATCTCAGCTCTTATTGCAGTTGTCGCTGACCTTGCCTTGACCTTGCCACTTAGGTGGTTCCTGCTCCTGCTCGTCCTCTGCCCGTCAGGGGTGCTCCTGTCCTTGTCAATGACTTCCCAGAGGATAGGCAATTCAAGCTGGCTTTCCTTGCTACTCATCTCAGTGCCATGCTGCTAGCCCCTGAGGGTGACCCATATGCTCTTGACATCTCGACACCGCGTACCTACGCTGAGGCAGTCTCGGGATGCTGGGTCTCTTAATCGATAGTGGACATGGAGTGGCCATGGACACAGAGATGGCAACTTGGTGGTTCACATGTACCTACATCAATGCAGTTCCCTCTTCTAGGACGAACGTAGCCGACGACATGTGGATCTTCAAGGTGAAACTGCCACTTGGAGTGCCTCCTACCTTCAAGGCGCGCTATGTGGAGAGATGATCTGTCAGTGAGAGCGGGTCGACTTCGTTAGGACTTTCTCCCCCACCCCGAAGATGACAACTCTTCGGGTACTACTACACATCCCATCATAGCGCGACTACGAGCTCCACTTCACTTGACTTCTCCACTGCCTTTCTCTAGAGCAGCCTGCACTAGCAAATCTGGTTTCGCCATCCACATAATTTCACCGGGCCTTTCCCCTCTTGGGACCCAGTGGAGCCTTCGGCGACCTGTCTATGGCCTGCGTCAGCCGTCTCGTGAGTGGCACGCCGCTTCTCACTACTCTAGCTTCTTCTCGTCTTCTTCTGACCCTTCTCTCTTCGTTTGCTCTGCCGAGACTCATTGTCTACGTCGACGACCTGGTTTTTGCTACTCCAAACAGGGTTGCGCTGGCCTCAGTGAGGGCCGAGCTGCTAAGGAGACACAAGTGCACTGACCTACGTGAGTTGCGCCACTATATTGGTTTACCGATCATAAGGGACAGAGCAACGCGCACCATCACCCACTCTTCGTCACACATGGTGCAGCAGGTCCTTCAGCGTTTCTGTCTTCAGTTCTCCTCCGCCGACTAGATTTTTCCGATTTTGCACCTGTGGTCGTAAGCGACAAGGGAAGCGGTGGGACCATGTGACAATCTGTCAGTACGTTCTGTGTGGCCGGATCCTCGGTAAGGAAGATTCGGTATCAATGTAACGCGGAGGGAACCCTCTATAGGAAGGGTAACACAAATCGGTCCCAAGGTAAAACAAAAGTTAGTCTTTTTGCTCTAGGGTAAAAGTTATATTACACGGATTCTACAAGGGTAACTGCAAAAAAGCGGCCGCCCATCAGGGCAAAAATAGTATTTTACCCCGAAATTTTGGGCCCTGTAGGGGACAATCCTTTTAGGGTTGAATACTTGTATCCCTTCCATGCTAGTTGTTACGAATAGTAAAAGGTGAAGCGTTACTGTGCACTCCTGACAGTAGCAATCGAAGCATGCAATACCGAGGTTGAAGACGAAAAGGCGGAAGTGACGCGAAGAGTCGTACGGTTACGAAGGATCTGGACCGTCAGGGCAGACATCATCAGGCAGCAGCAGTGGCGAGGATTCTGCCCAGGCAGTTCGTAACCGTCTGGAGTCGCACGGATAAGTTTCGGTGTAATAAGGGAATGTACCCCTTAGAGTACATGGCTAGCTAGGTCGCTTCGCATTCCACCTTGTACTCTTATTTATATGCTTGTATTTGCATGTTCTAAATCATCTCAATCATTTTACATCCAGTCTGAATTGAGGTCAGGGGCCCACCACTACTACACAGTTGTGTGCGAACCTTCCTGAGGTGATCCCAGGGTCGATCAACTCCTGATCGCAGCATGGTATGAGAGCGACTCGGAAATCCTTCGCACTGCCACCTCCGAAATCTTCGGCGAACGGAAAGTGGCGTCCGGCACACGCTCGTGTATAAGAATGGCCAGAGGATCTGGAGGTCAGACGAATCTGACCGCTGAAGCGCAGCCCAACCCGGTTGCGACAAGTAAGGAAAC